AGCTTCCCTGGAGATAAGATGGTGGTAGCAAAGCATACTGCCAAAAGAACAAACAAATATTTCTTGGAGAAAGTGTGACCAGAGTGTTCCTTAGAGGCAAGTATGGTAAAGCTTCATCTCACATACATTGGGCATGTTGTCAGGAGGGGGCAATCCTTGGAGAAGGACATCATGCTTAGAAAGGTGGAAGGTTGGCATAGGAGAGGAAGACCTCCCAAAAGATGCATTAACATAGTGATTGTAACAATGGGCTCAAGTACATAAGAGGTGGTAAAGGATAGCACAAGAGATGATAAGGTTTAGATTCATTGTTTATAGGGGAGTTATGAGTAGCAGTCCACTCAAAACAACAACATACATAGTTGTCTGTATATACATTACATGTGACTGTACGTATACATATTCATATATATAATAAAACATACAAGGAGTATAGTTATGCAAGCAAACATTGCTCAGGACTCTTTTTCTGTATTTGAAGAATTAAATGCAGAATTCTCATGGATCACCTTAGTTATTTGACATAATGTAGTTTATAAATTTCTGCCTTATAGCCTAGCTTGGCGAATAGTGTCTTGGGTGTCTTGAAAACAGCTAAGATACAAGTCCTGGTCGCTACTCATTTAGATGAAAAGAAAAAGAAGACAGTCAACAACTCAAGGTAGAAACTGGCCTACAGCCAAATGATTGGCACAATTACAGCCCCATGTACACCAAGAACAGAAAAACACTATAGCTACCACTACCCTAGTTGTTCTATGCAAGAACACCACAGATAGACTAAGAAAGAACCAGAAAAATGTGGAACATTAGCTGAAATTCAAATTTATATTCAAATTCACATGTGTACATAAATATATATTTAATTATTTTAAGAGAGAAAGAACACTTCTCATTAGGATCATGATTATCTTGAACATCAGCATAACAATAGCCGCCATCATTATCCACCTTGAAGAAAGATTAGAACAAAAATTATCATTGCCTTTTATGCATCTGACAAATTAAAGCATACTTGTATAATTTTGTCCTATCTTGATGAGCAGAAGTAAAATTTTCAGTGTCTGTTATTTTCGATGGAAACAAACAATCCTACTGTTGAATCTTTGTTGATAATAGATGTTCTGTAGCTGCATACCTCTACTTCTCTGACATCAAGGGGTCCTTGCATGTTGCTGTTATTAGTTGTGTACGCTTCATAGTGATCCCATGAACAATGGATCTGAACTTTGTCCTATCCTGTACCATCCTTATCTTCTCAGATATATTTGAGCCTATTGTTACAGTCTTGTGTCAATCAATCTTGTTGAGGGTCTTCCGCCTTTCACTTACCCTCCAAATTTCCAAGCATGATGTCCTTCTCCAAGAACTAACCCCTTCCAATAATATGCCCAAAATATGTGAGACAAAGCTTCACCATCCTTGCCTTCAAGGAACAACCTGGATGCACTTTTCCCAAGACTTATGTGTTTGTTCTCTTGGAAATTCATGAGATATTCAGTACTCTTCTCCAATAATACAGCTGAAGGCATTGATTCTTCTGTCATCTTTGGTCTTTGTCCAACTTTCAGACACATAACAAGTAATTGAAAAGATCATGGCTTAAATTCGATGCATCTTGGACTTCAAACTGACTTAATTTCTCCTTGACACCTTAGAGAGTTCTGTTCTTGACAGATTTACCCAATGCAATACATCTTTTGATTTCTTGACTGCTAGTACCAAGAATATTGACCGTACATACAAACAAGATTAAATCATTAATGACTTAAGTCTTCCCTCCTTCTACCATGAAATTGCCTGTTGGCCTAGTGATGAGAATTTTTGTCTTCTTGATGTTGACAAGTAATTCATATTGAAGGCTGTAGTCTTTGATCTTCTGCAGCAAGCATTTCAACTTCTCTTTGCTTTCAACAAGCAAGGTGTGTCATTGCATAATCTAGGTTGTTGGTGAGTCTTCCTCTGTTCCTGATGCACATTCTTCTTCATAAAGTCCAGCCTCTTGAATGACTTGCTCTGCATACAGGTTGAATAGGTATAGAGAAAGGATATAGCTGCACAACTTTCTTGATTTTAAACCATGCAGTTTTCCCTTGGTTTGTTCAAACAACAGCTTCTTGGTCTAAGTATATGTTTTGCATGAGCAGAGTTAAGTGTACTAGGATTCCCATTCTTCTCATTGTTATTTGTCATGATCCACACACTGTAAGTCACAGCTATCCCTTCCTACACATCTTCTTTGGGTCCCCTGTAGGGAGAAGTGACTTGCCATCTAGGGACAGACAAATACCACAGCAGCTTTTCGGTCAATCCCTCATGTGTATCTTTTCTAAGGGCTATGGAAAATATCAGGTGCAGATCTATCACAGGAAGAGCTCAACAGGAGAAAGGAGGAAGGTAAAGGTGCTACACTGGGCTACAATCCCATTTTTCTTGGTGGCACTGTTGGTACAAATGGAGACAACTGAAAAAGGTAGGGCAGGAAGTGAGATTGAAGGGTTGAATTCTTAGCAAATATGTTCCTTGATTGTTAGTCCCACACAGTAGGTAATCCTATTTGGACTTAACTCTGCTCATGCAAAATATCCACTTAGACCAAGAAGTTGTTGTTCAAACAAACTAAGGGAACACTGCATGGTTTAAAAAAAAAGAGGTGTAGCAGAGCTATATCCTTTCTATGTACCCATTCAAACTGTATGCAGAGTAAAGAGGACTTGACTGTGCATATGAAGAGTGAGTTGAAGGATTGTTTCTTCACTGTGCAGGATTGACTAGAGTGGGGGGAGAAGAGCTGTACCTTCTCAATGTGTGCTTCTATACTCTGCCCAAATGTGCACCCAGAAGCAGAATATGTTGTCTGATTAAAGAAATTCATGTTCCCATCCTGAATTTTACCAATGAAATGTAATAATTCCCCAGCATTTTCATTGAGTTGGCAGCTGCTCCATTTTCTTAAGAATTTACATCACAATTAAAGTATTCCTTCCCATCTTGTGGTTTCACACCCTACTAAGCATAGTAACTTCTCATTTATCATTAATTCATTGAGCTACTATGAAATACCCTAAACTTTGTATACAGCTCCGTTCACCTGCCAGGAGCGCTAAGGCATGTATTCTATGAATCCAGACTTCAGCCTCTTGAGTTGAAACAGCCATTCTTTTAACCACCACCTTCAAGGTAAAGACCTGCCCTCAAAATTTGAGCTGTTTTTAACTGTTCTGATATCAGAGCAAAAAATAAGGAAATAATGTCATAAAGGAATCAAGTATAAAGGAGTATGTGACTTATTCTGTTTACCTTATTTTTAGAAATAACCCTGATGGAAGATTAAGAACTGGTTTATTACCAATGGAAAAGTCAGTGATTCCAAACATCAGCGGTTCCTCCATGGGAGAAAGATGTGTTATTCTTATTCCATAAAGATTTACATGATTGAAAGATTTACAGGTTCGTTGTTCTTAGGTGTGGTCAAGTATGACTCGTTGTGAACAGCTGAACTGAACCCTGCCCTATCCTGTATGATCCTTATCATCTATGACACACTAGAGCCCACTGCTCAAATCACTGTGCCAGCCCATCTCGTTGATAGTCTTTTTGTCCTTCGCTGATCCCTCCATGATATTCTAAGCATGATATTCCTTTCCAAGGAATAGCCTCATCTATCAATGTTCTAGCCTCACTGTGAAAGAAGCAGCTTGACCATAGATAGATGGGTAGATCTCTGGATTCTCAATTCGATTCCATTGATCTATGTGTCTGTCATTGTACCAGTACCATGCTGTCTTTA